ATTATTAACTACAAGATGTTGCTCAATTATGCACTTAATTTCTGTTCAGCCTTTTTACGCTAGATTTCAATTTATATTTTAGTTAATTTATGACCATTCTAGTCCTCATTCTTAAATGCATTTTATATTTTAAAGCAACTTTAACATTATGATCTAGTTAAGACATACATAATGGAAACTTTTTTGCCACTCTTTATAATTTTGCTAGTCCAGCTATAAAGCTGGTTTTCCACTTGGCGAATTTATTCGCGCGAATGGAAAGCGGCGACTCATGCACATGCGCATTCACATTTCTATCGGAGTTTTTGCTAGCGAAAAAATGCGCAACCAATCAGAACTCAGAAAACGAACCGACGCTTTGATTCGCTGGAATAAATTCGCCTAGTGGAAAACAGGCTTCACGAAAGCAGCGAACTGAGGTCAAATCAACCCCCCTGTACAAGTAGTTTGGATCGACCAATTAACAACATTGTGTTTGTTTCACTTTCATTATGGGGTTAAAATACTAATACAATTCAATTTGCACAGTCAATATTCTTTTGTTAAAACTTGTATTTGAACACATATTTAACAGTACACATAGTACAATGTAAAGAACAAATGTTTAATTGGCGGGATTGGCTTAGCCCTACGCTACACCCCTCTGGACATTTTCAAACGTTTCAGAATATAAATTGCATTTTTTTTTTTTGAAGAAATAATTTATAGCCTAATTGATGCAAGTATCTTGTCTTGGGATATTTTTTTTTTAATAAAGGTAATAAAAGCACACAAAGATTCCAACTGATAACTAAATTAGGCCAAATTACATGAAGAAAGAGTCAAACACTGCGAACACTTGTCAAGCAAATAGAAGTAGGACGTATAGCAGTAAATCGGACTATCACGCTTGAGATATTTTTTGACCCCATGAGAGGCAATCGTTGATTGGATGGATTTTATATTTTCTTATTTTCCGATAAAACTACCCAACCAATCATACTAAGTTTTATATCAGCTCCAAGCTTATTATATTTCCTCCACGAATCCACTTGGGCCATTTCAAACAAAGAAATAGTCTGTGAATGAGTGAGTAAGAAACGAGCTGGGAACAGCCAAAAACCTCAAATTTCTTGAAATTCCCTATCTAAATCGGCGTGAGGAGCTGTTATAAATCCGGGCGTATTCCGACAAAACTGTAGGGATTTAATTTTTTTTCTTAACGAATTGGTATATAAATATTTTTTACAACATAATCCGCTTGGGCCATTACAAGAAAATCATAGATTTTGTACCAAAAATGTACTTTTGTGAAACAAGTTTTCTCCAATGGTTAAAGCAACCTTGGAGAGCAAATGATACAACGTTTCCATATGCATTCGGGTACTTTATAATCATGAATATCACGGATGTTGTTGATAAATACGCTCCAGTCGGTAGCCTCTAAGCAGCCCTCTAAATTTTACAATAATGCCAGTGTACCACAATTTAATTGTCTTTGTTTCCACCTTCCTTGTTCTAAATTTTGCTTGCATATAAGTAATAACTGTATAATTACTTTATGCTATTGAGGGTGATTAAAGAAAATCTACACAATAAACAGTACCTATAAAACTATTTATTTACGCATTAGGAGAGAGAAGATAACACGTTTTGTTGATTATATCAAAACTTAGGTGCAGTTTGTGTTATTTTTGTTCATGGCTGCAGCATTGTATTCTTAATTGTAATATTATTATTATTATTGACTTTAACCATTTCCAAAGGGAATATTGAGCTTTCACGTATTTATTCACAGTGCATTTCTCAAGCAATTGATAGCAAAAATACATGGCATGAGTGGATTTATGATAGAGAAGTATAGAATGTGGTTGTTATTCTAAATCGTAATCAACGATCATATTATAATGTTGTTTTTTATTCTTTTTTTTTAAATAAACACCTAGCTAACCATTGTCTCTTTGTGTCTAATTTACAACGTGTTTCTATAATAATTCAGAATTTTGATTATTGTGAATAAAATTAAGTTTTGTTTATTCAATAATAATTATAAATCTTCTTATCTCTCTTTCTCTTGTTCTTTTCTTTTAATTTTATTTATTTTGCTTTTTTAACACATACCTATTTATAATTTACCTAGTCTATATAGAAGATTAGATAATTACCTCAGCCAACGAAGTTGGCAGGAGTTTATGTTTTTGCCCTGTTTATCTACTTATTATTTGTCTGTCGGCATATTTGTTGTAAACAGCCTACTATCCATAGTTTTTTTATTAGAAATTCATTAAACTTGGCCACAATTTTATCTAGGATCTAGAGTTAATTGATTTTTGAAGGGTCAATGTCAAAGGTCAAGGTCACAATCAACAAAAATACTATTTTAGAAAAATCTATTCGTCTGCAGCCCCATAGTTTTAACCACAAACTTGTCAAACTTGGTCACAATGTTCCATGACCAAAGTATCTGAATGTAGAATGGTAAGGGTTAAAGGTCAGAGTCACGGTCAACAAAAAATGATTTTTTGAAACAGTTTTTATCAGAAATTTGTCAAAATAAGCTACAATGTTCCTTTACAAAATATCTTGAAGTGACTAAATTTTGAAGGGTCAGTGTCAACGGTCAAGGACACAATGATCGAACAACTTGTATATAACTGTTTGCCCTGTGTGTGCTTATACGGTCTTGCCGGTAAAGTGTAAACAAACATATGAGCATTAAAGCGATATATGTGTAAAGAGTTTGGTTGAGTGCTTTTCACACCACCATCCTCGGGTTCAATCCAAAGGTGTCTAGCAACTTTATACTAAGGAGAATTATAT